CAAAACTAAATTCTACTGGCATACAAAACAAAGGAAACAAATCAAAGCCCGATGATTGACTTCTTTATGTTTGAGTTATTTTAATCGGGACTTTTTGCAGCAGTTCTCGACTGAAATTCCCGACTCAATTTTTTTCTCACGTCTGCACATCATCAAGGGTGAGCTTGGTGGAAATGGTTATACTTTGGGTTTCAAGCATCAAAGGACATCGATTTTTTTTTATTAACGTCTTATTTTATCGATGTTTCTTACATGGATTTTACACAGAATCAGGTCCAGAGTTACAGAAAAAATTTGCCTGAAAAGGGCAAAATTTTAAAATAAAGCTGTTTCTCTATTATAAGTTACCTCTTTTGTTCTCGACAGCCATGTAAATATAACTTAACAACACAAAAAAAAAATTTCCCGCTGCAGTGTGAAGTCAATATTTCTCCGTTTTCAGAACTCCTTCAGTTTGCTTTTTATTCTTTTCAATTTCAAAGCCCCTCTAAAACGGTCTGATTTGAAAAACGAAATGTCTTCCAACATAAAACCATGGCAAAATCGAAAGACTGTTCTAATAGCGAGGTAAAACATGCCAGAAGCTTAAATTGAGAAGTCATTACTTTAAATTGTAATTAAAGTTTTGCTGAATCATGATCGTGCCCTGAGAGAAACCTTAATTAAAAATGACTGTACGATTTAATTTGGCGAGGATTGCGAAGTGACTGCGATGTGGATTTGTTATTACTTGCTTTTCTCAAGAAAAACAGGGTACATGAGGAAGAAGATATTTTTCATCTTGGCAATAGAAGCAGTTAGTGTAAGTTTCGTCACTAAAAATGAACTAACCCCAAAATACCTTGCATTAAAAAGCTAATAATGTCCATTTTTTTTAAGAAGCAGCAGGTGTATTTTTGTAACTAAAAATGAACTAATCTCCAAAATACCTTGCATCAAAAAGCTCCTGATTTTCATTTCAGTGTCAGGTCCTCTGCAGGACGCGCAAAAATGTGAGAATATACGATCAGCATTGTATTACACTGTTCAAAAGAACTAAAACATAGAAAAAATATACCCGCTTGTTCGAATAAATTAAGTTTTAATGTTCAAGCTATTAGGCAAAAATTGTTCCAATTATAATTTTTACAGTCCTTTATTTAACTTAAGTTCAAACTACACGCAATGTACTTATGAAGTAAATAAATTAAGGCCACCGTAAAACCAGTATCGTCGAAACAAGTTTACAATGTGTTTTTGACTTGACCTATTTAAAGGTTAGTAGATGAAACTCTCAGGAAAGAAAAGAGAATTCCTTTTTCTTTATTAACTGACAACTGTTTGTAATGAAAAATGCCCTTCTATGTTATTTTTTTCTGGCGACAGAAAAGCCGTGGCCCATAATTGATTGTCATTTTGTCGGTTTTATGCGAGGTAAGTCATCCTGGTGTACATTCCGTGTGATAAAATTCATTTATAAGGACATTTAATGATGTCAATTTGAAGCTTGGGGGCAGGATCCCTCATGGCGAACCGTTCAGAGGATTGGCGAACGAAAAAGAAAAACGAAAATTAGCAAGAGGAGCGAGCTGATTGCTGAGTGATCGTCATCAAAACGACGAATAGTGCAGATTTATCTTGTTTTAGCTCACCACCTCATTGCATATCGAGCCAAAAAATGGCCAGAGTTTGCAAGCAAGATAAATTATATTGAAACTACTTACTCGGGGCGATTGAATTAGGCTTCCATCATTTAATCGCCTCTGCAAACATAATCAAATGGTCGTGGAAAACAATCGTTCTCAGTGAACGAAGACTCATATTCGATGCTCATGATCCAGTCTCCATTGATAAATTACTCCGGCACAGCTCCTTTCTCCAAAATATAGTGTCTTTAGGGCGAGCGGGGATGCCACCCATGATATTTTGTTTTGATGCTGTCTTAGTAACAGAGTATATCGACCCGGTTTTAACCATGTCTTTCCCTGTTAGGGTAAAATAGTTGATAATTTGTCCATAACAAAAATTCTTATTTTTGGGGCTTGGATGTTGAAACGATATTTTGGGGAACCCATCATTTGATAGTTATGAACGAGATCCAAAATTCTCGTAACTGAAAATGTCGTAACTAATCCAGCTTTTAACGATACCGACCATTTGTCAATTAATAAGCAGAAGTAGACAATTTTTTTTGCATTTTCCGTAACCACCAACAATTAATGTAGGGGAGCTTGCTTCCGTTCAATTTTAAAAAGTGAGAGGGTTCTGTAAAGGTATGTTGTTGTTTTTCAGGTCAGTCGGCGCAGTTATATGTGTAAAATTGCGTTTCTGTAATCGAACATACTTCTCGCTAATCAAATAAGATAATACTGGCCGAATTCTTTTAGCTTCATCTCAGCCAGTTATTTTGATTATTTTTCGGAGTACACTCAATAAGATTTTATCGTTATCAGTTCTAAGTTGAAGAAGTCCATGTTCAAGATGGGAGGCTGGAGATTGTTTTGAAGTTTAAATACAATTTTAGGTCTGTTAACCAAGACACTTTCGAGTCTTGGGCTTAGCACAGTTCTTTTTGAAACGTTTTAAAAACTTGCACAAGGTTTTTCATTTTGGGGTATAGCACATAAAGTAGCCTTATCTGCATTTTTTAAGAGTTTTGTATCTCTAGATCCTTTAAGTAAACGAGATTTCATGCCCTTGCATACTAATTAAGATCTTCGACGCAAATTCATTTGATTTTCTTCTGTGTGGGCTACAAATGAATAATTATTTTTTACGCAAACCACGCAAAAAATAGTTGTTTTTTTTTAAAGATGATCTAAGGTGGTCTCTCGGTGTTTTGAAATTAATCTTGTTTTCCTTTATAGACCTAGAAAGAACGGCAAGCTTAAGTTCTGTTTAGCAGGTAGGGGACAGGAGCAATTTACAGAAAGCTTGTAAACAGCAAAAATGTGCAAACATCTGGCTCTTTATGAAGGGTCACGGCAGAACGTAAATATCATCGACCATGCATTTTGGTGACTGCTTTGATAATTTAGACATATTTGGTATCAAAAGTTGTTGCTATGGGTAACTGCACGTACATTGGTTCTCAAAGTGCAAATCATGTAATACCTTCTGTGATTCTTAGTTAAATAAAAGGAAAGTCTTTGAAGGTAAAATAAACATCTTCTACTACAAATTAAGTCAAGGAAAAGGGGAGTGATTCGTTTTGAGTAAATCGTCTCCGAGAGATGAATACATCAATATGACCAGTGATGTCAGTGTTAATTTCATGACCTTCTAGTTTAAAAAAGTATTGGAGAAATAACCCATTAATTTATGTCTTCCACCTAGTTCAACTTGGCACTGTTGATTCAAAATGAAAGCAATTGATGGATTTCTCCCATGGCTGCTTCTTCATCTTATCTGTAACAAAGGTATAGTTCTTGTTATGTTCTTCAAATCATGAATAGTCTAACGAGAAATATTTTTTAAGCACACCGTTTCTTGAACACAAGCCGCCAAAAAATATGACATTTTGCTGACAAATAATAATAACTGTAAGTGCATAGTGCTTGATGCCATGATTTGCTTTCGTTGTTTTTCTCACAATTTCAACCATAATACAATAACCCTCAATACATTTGGAAGAAATGTGATGCTATTCCTTTTTTTAATTTTTTAGCTTTTCCTTCGCCAAGCCTATTAGTCATTGCGTTAAAGAAGGATTTTTCATCGATTTGTGCCAGACCTTTATTTCAATTTAATTTTTCAAGCTGTTCAGAACTCTCGTATCTGCTCTTTGCTATACCGAGTATACCTCATGTTACCTGGAGCCAAAGATTTTGGAACCTTTTTTTTTTAGTGCATAAACTTCTTCTCGAAAATGCACAACAAATATTTTAAATTCTGTCAGTGAGGAGTTTGACAATATCAGTTATGGGTGCTAAATTAAAAGCTCGAAAACTGCGATTGCCGTCGTGAAAATTTACATCATAAAATGTCTTTCCTTCTCTTGACCAATCCTGTACATGAAGTCATTGACTGAAGCGAGAACCATTCAGCACTTCTGATGGGTACTAGCTATCAATTTTTCGTTTACAACTTGATATCCTAGGAAACTGTAATATGAAATCTAAAAAGGCAGTGAAACGCAGACTTTTTGCACTTCAAAGCGCCCGTTTTTCAAAACGTTCTAGGTTTTTGCCAAAATATTGTAATGTAAGGGCGTGCAATACTCTAACACTGGCCTAGCGCAGATAGGATAGGAGCAGATGAGATCATAAGCTGTAATAGTTGCCCGCTTCGGCAAGATCAAGACATATCTGTGTTTAGTGGTCTTTTAAAGTCATTAAATTTTCGCAAAAGGTATGGTGATTTACTCATGCCACATCATTCATCATTTAGACAGAAACAGACACGAAGCTCAAAAATTGTTTAAATAATAAGTCTATTTCGTAAAAAAGGTTGTGGTCATTCATCGTGGTGAATAACAATAAAAGCTAAGTTTTCCGTTTGTCTCACGATATAGTCACGTGCGATGTAGATTGCGACGTTTCGACTGCGTACTGCTAGTCCTCTTCAGGCGATGAGGTCGACAGGTCATGCGTGATCTTATAAAGCATGATGCTCTGCTGTGATTAGTTGTTTTTTTAACAGTTCTGATTGGTGCATTGTGATCCTTGCTGTTTCATTCAGTGATTTGCTCTCTCGGCGGTCCGCTGTCGTACGGCTCTCCTGTTGTTGTGTTTTTTGATCGTAGGCATCCACGCTTCTGGAATTTCTATTCCACTATCCCTGTTAATGTTGTCAGGGTGAATACTTGTATGAATTGCCTCTTTGACCCTGCGCGTGTAGTAATAAGGGTCACGATCCATAAACTTTACATCGTTCCAGAGTGGCATGTGTCCGGTGTTGTGGGCATGCTTTGAAACGGCGGAGGTCTCGGTACGGGCGAGTCGGATGTCTCGATCGTGCTCCTTAATTCTGTCTTGCATAGGTCTTCCAGTCTCTCCGATGTACACCTCGCCGCTTTCACAGGGAATCCTGTAAACTATGCCATCTTGTTCAGCTGGGTCAACAGCGTCCTTTGGTCGTACTAGCTGAGATCTTAGCGTAGTCTCCGACTTGAAAACAGTGTGTACGCCTTGTTGTTGTAGGCAACGGCGAAGCTGTTCGGACAGACCTTTGACATAACGTAAAACCGCAGTATCTTTGAACTCGTTGGCGGGTTAGGCATTGTTGTTTGGTTTTCCGGCCTTGGTAAGTTTCTGCGAGAAAGAAAAAGGATAACCATTAGAAACCAGGACAGATGACAGATGTTTTTTCTCCTTGGAGATGACAGAAGGTTTTGTTACGAGACGTTTGGCGCGCTCGTAAAGGCACTTAATGATACCGCGTTTTTCTGATTCAGGGTGGTGTGAATCATACGCTAAATATTGATCGGTGTGCGTAGGCTTCCTGTATATGCTGGTGGTGAGGCGGCCGTCAGGTTCTCTTAAAACTGCGGTGTCCAAAAGGGCGAGTTTTTTATCTTTCTCTGTCTCTATGGTGAAGCTGGTGGAGGGCTGCTGGTTGTTAAGATGCTGTAAGAAGTCATCCACGTTTTCGCGATCCAGGATGGTAAAGGTATTGTCCACGTAGCGTTTCCAGATCCTAGGATCGTAGGATAATGTAGTTATCGCCTGTTCTTCGAGTTTCTGCAGTGCGGCTTGTACAGCGGCGTCGATAGGAACGTTGGTAAACAGCGACTCCACGTCGAAAGATACCATGATCTCGTTGTCTAGGATCGTCTCATTGCTGACAGTGGATACGAAGTGATCTGAATTGGTCACCGTGTACTCTGACTTTCCTGTTAAAGGAGACAAGATATTGGCTAAGTAAGCGGATAAATCATATGCAAAGGTGTTTACGCACGACACAATAGGTCTAAGCGGTACATCGGCCTTATCGGATCTTCGGTAAACCGGAGATTCTATGCGGCTATTTGTGTCGGGGTCTGAAGCTTCGCTTCAAGGTAAGCAGCTTTTCCGACACCTTGCAGGTCAGACGGTCTGTCGAATCTTTGTTGAGGAGCTGGTGCGGTCAGTTCTTAATAAGCGTAGACGTCTTAGCTCGGTAGATGTTTCAGAGCATGCCCACAACACCGGACACAAGCCACTCTGGAACAAAGTAAAGTTTATTGACCGTGACCCTTATTACTACACGCGCAGTGTCAAAGAGGCAATTCATATAAGACTTCACCCTGACAACATCAACAGGGATAGTGGATAGCAGGAGAGCCGTAAGACAGCGGACCGCCGAGAGAACAAATCACTAAATGAAACAGTAAGGATCAAAATGCACCAATCAGAGCTGTTAAAAAACAACTAATCACAGCAGAGCATCATGCTTTATAAGATCACGCATGACCTGTCGACCTTCTCGCCTGAAGAAGACTAGCAGTATGCAGTCGAAACATCGCGATTTACATCACAAGTGACTACATCGTAGGACAAACGGAAAACTTAGCCTTTAATAATAGTCTAACTCCATAAGAATTAAAAATCTGTCTTGTTCATAGTTTTGACAACTACCCTCTCGTCAACGAAAGAGACTGAGCCCTCAGAGTCGTTTCCGACATATTCTACTGAGTCTACCATTTTATCTACACAAACATTTCCGCCAGCCTCCGTATCCTGTTATATATCCTTTGATGGGGAGAAAGAAGGCAATTTCGAAGATAAAATTACCATGTCATCATTTGACGGACCATTTATGATTAATACACCTACTAAAGCGCCGACGCAGTATACCACAGCTATTACAGTCAACACAGCTACAGGCACACCTGCAATTGCGAGTGCAACTGATCCCACAGTTACACCCATAACGACGCCCTTAAGCACACCCATAACCACACCTTTAACCACACCAATAACCACACCCAAAACCTCACCAACGGTTTCACCCACCACTTGTGTTGAATATAAGCAGTGGAAAATCACTGTTCCGACAGGAAACTATATAGAGATGACTATCAAGAAAATGAATCTTCGACCATGGGCGTGTTTGTTCGAGACATATATCATTGTCAGAGATGGGCATTCTTTGTCCGACAATATCCTCGCGATTCTTTGTGAAGCGAGCACTACACCTCACCGCCTAGCGTCTAGTGGCGATAAAATGATTGTAGAGAGATATGGAAAATTGGGATCTAGCGAAAGTACGGGGTTTGAAGCCAGCTTTAAGGCAAAACCTTTAAAAACTGGAGGTTAGTGTATGTTTGGTTTATTTAGAGTTTTAGCGTCACTTTACAATCTAGTTAAACGACAATGAACCTTGAGATGAAAGTTTCAAAGGCGGCGTGAATTGATTATTTCACTTGTCTTTTTTCAACAGATCCTCCTAGCTTTCGGGTATCTGAGGAAAGTGTAACTTTGCTAGAGTGTTATTCTCAAAGCTTGCTCTGCCAAGCGGGCGGTACACCTACTCCCAGAATTACGTGGTCTAAAAGTGGAAGAGTTTTGCAAAATAGTACAAGTGTAATTTATACACCAAGCTGTTATTCGGAATCAGGAAATTACACCTGCAGAGCAAGTAATTTTAACGGCTCGGATACGAAAA